CCTCATTAGCTTGCAATCGATTCCCTTGTACACTTTTATTAGTAATGCTTCTTCAAACACTTGTTTGCCAAGAGAGGTGTGAATCCCCTTAGTATTTCGGAGGGATCCCAACCATGGACTTGCTGGTTGAAGGTCTGCTGAGTTAAGTAAAACAAAATTGCTTGTTCTTTCGGTTCATAGATGGGACGTTTCGCCTCCTGTAAAAGCACACTCATTGAGTGTGGTTAATTTTCACTAAGCAAATGAAGAACTTCTCTTTTGCCTAATTTGCTGTAGGTGTCTGTTTTAATAATAACTTACTATTGCGATTGAAAATTGCTTAATTAAAACATTGCTGTCACCATGTAGCTTTGAATGTCTGTTTTGATGGAAATATGGGCAAAAATTTTGAAGAAAAAATGTTGAAATGAATAAAAAAACGAAAGTGGGAGTTTTTTAATTAATCGAGTTATTAGAATTTTGCACTGCTATTGATAGAAGCGATATCCCGCTAGAAGTTACAGGATAATGTGAAATCGACATTTTATTGTCTTCTTTGTCATTCATTGGGATTGATTTAAGCCTAGCTTAAGTTTGTGACAAGAAGGCCCACTGGGTGACGTTAAACAGGACTTTATCTAAAATGTCATGCCACAATGGTGTAATATGCTGGGATTTTCCGAGAATGGGTTTTATACATTTGTGTCGCTCTTCAGTCAGGTGTTACAAACGTTCACCTCTTAACGCAGTGAGTAGAGTGCATCGTATTCCCATAATTTTGTCCCACTCATGACAACACTGAGGTTTATTTTGCGTTTTCAGTTAATTCACTGACCTCATATCAATATTTCCATCTATTTGTCATGTAATCTACCGTGCCTTATTACTTGCTTTATCTAAAAGCCAATATATGGATCATTTTAAAATGATGATGAGTTATTGAAAGAAAAAATACCTTGCGTTTATGACATATGAGGTGAAAGCATCTTGGTCATATCACCCGACTCGCTAACCATTGCAGTCATGCATGTTGAATTTACAGAATTTGTGATCTGATCTATTCAGGTTATTTCAAAAATACCGCGTCTTCCTCAATCCCTTATGTATCCATTAATTTTTGGCTATGGATTCTGAGATTTTACTAAATGACCCGACTATTGTGAAAGTGGAAATACGGAATAGATGGGACGGAAGTGGCAGAGTGAAATAGTCGCTAACGGCCGCTGTAGATCATTGGTAAATATGTTAATGAGATATCAGTATAATGCTAGGTAATGTACTTTCTACCGAGGCAATAATTTGCCATATCAATATGCAGAGTTGACACGGAGAAAACGCGTGATTCAGATGGGAATAAGGTTTTTGTAACCTTGAAAACGGACTACGCAACACTGGCTCATGTGAAACCAAACGACAATCATCTTAGCATAAAGAACAGCTTGAGACTAAAACCACCGCGTTTTGACGTGGTTAGTGCTCAAATGAGGATGCATAGCTCAAAGCACTCGCTATGGGTTTAACCAATCATAAGTCCTGTTCCACCAGCCACCACCTGATAAGTATGCGTACAAACTTCCTGCATTTACCGCACTGGAAGGACTGTAATGATGAATAACGCTGGGTTTTCAGTATTGCTTCTTGCTCTTGCTACTACTGTTTTAACAATGCTAACGCTCCTTTGGGTTGGCATTTTGAATGGACAATTGCGGACATTACGCGAGCTTCCTGCGGTTGAATCTTCTTCCAAAACTTCGAGTTTACACCCCTATCACCACCTGATTGATCAGTTGGAGTGGATGTCTGATTTTGCCACCAATAAGGTATGTTGCATTGCGGCTTCCTGCATTCCTTCCTTCTATGCGTGCACTCGAATGAAGAGCATCTTATTGTCTCGTGTGTAATCATGATGCCCATTTCACTGTGTTCTGCATTTTAAGCGCCCTGAAAATAGGTAGCATCATATTCGTGTTCATTTTCCCACTTATTTGCCCTTTTGAGAGAACCATAATGACAACACGTTAACAGCACCAATGTGTGCTCCTGCTCAAAAATTTTAATTAGAATTCACGAAATGTTACTTGTTTAATTGGAATCACTGAGTCACCCTTAGTTAGCAAAACGCCCGCCCATGTCACTCTTGGCGCTAGTATAAATGATGTCCATTTCACATGCTTCTAAATTGTGAAATCAACTGTGTGGTTGTTGAAATATCATAAGGTTCCCAATCGCCTGTCAGCTTTTTCTGCATGCGTACTCGAGACTACTAGCTATGCAATATCATAAATCAAAGTGCCTTCAAACCTTAGCAACAACTTTACTACATTTATATCCACAACCATACTTTAAAATGACTTTGAGGCGTACATAATTTCTGCGTCTACTCTGGATGTTGCTGTGGCAAACCACGGCCCTGATGTGCAAATAAACTTTCCAACTTTAGACCGATTTCCCATTGACAAGACCATTAAACATCTACTACGACCGAAAGCGTCTCTTTCACCGTACCACTTCCGATGGCCGTCGCTACAAATGCATCTCCATAGACACCACCCAAAATCTCAGTCAAGGCGATGCAGCCGTATTTTCCGACTCGTTTTCCTTAAAAACAAGCACCAGGCTCAAGAAACGAGGAGTTCTCCTTGTCTTCGAGACAGGAGAAAGTCCTCTCCATGCACCCATTCTCTCGCCGGCACACCTAAAGCAAGTGAGTGATGTGTGGATTTGTACGAACTTCTCAGTTCTTCAGTATTTTTTCTTGAATTTGGTGCAACTACCATGTCAATGTAGCTGCATCACAAACATTTTTGCCATGACGGTGAGAGGAGAGGGCTCACCATCAGTTAGATGATTTGTTCTTTTAATGACACTCCTACTAGTAGAAATGGTATGCAAATTTTCAGCTGCAGAACAGACTGCATATACTTCCTTGCTTCAAACCCAACCACTCCATTCGTTACACATGTTGCACATGCTGCTGCGAATCTCCCTACGTCCTTTTCAAATGGCAACTGTTCATTGCCATTATCAGTGATCATAACACATCGGATCGTGCAGTTCCAACGGAACCCTTTCTTAAGGTTGGACGAATTGGGCTTTTTGATGTGGGCAGGAACCTGTGTATGGCACTAGCATAGCATTGTGGTGTGACTGAAGGCGACCCGTGTTTGAAGTGCTGCACGCAGTAGGATGTGCAAGGTGCTCTTTTCTTTATTGGTAAATTTCTCAATCTTCCTCATTTTAGCCAAGTTTGCATTTACTTCTACCAGCAAAATATTTTAGTCCAACATGTAAGTAGACCCTGGTTCACTGTATGCAGGATGCCACTTAATAATAATGTCCTGATGCCATCCGGGTCCCTCACTTATGCGATTGTTGATGACTGCTGCAATCGTTTGTTTACGAAGCCCAACAGCGCCATCGCATAATCAAGATAAATTCTGGTACAAGAAGGTAATGCGATTTATGCCTATTCTTGATGCCTTAGTCTATCATTGTTCGCAGTTCGTCTGCGACATCCCAGCACAAACAATTAATTTAACTATATGAGACACTGAAGAGTGCATAACATCTGCGCCACTATCAGTAATGTGAAATAGGAATTGCGTTAAGCGGAAGGAGAATAATTTGAAAGAGGACAAAAGGGAGAAGGCGATTAGGCGAAAGGAGGTGAATTGCTTGGGGAAGAGGAATAACTTGATACACAGCCTGTCCTGAGAGCTTTGATTGAATGGAGGGGATTTTTTGTACAAATAACTTGGAAGATGGAAAAAAGAGACACAGTAAAGGAAAACCAAGGGGGTACTTCAATGAGGGAGGGGGATGTGATTAAGTGAGCTTCTTATTGCACACATTGGTTGAATGGATTTCTCCTTCACACTTATGCATTTTAGTTTTGCCTATAAGCAAATTGCTTCGGTTGAATCAAGCAATTACCCTAAAATGAAAGTGGTGCACAATTCGTTTCTTGATAAAGATTGATCTCGTCATCACGTACATGGCCAAGTCTCCAGTGCCCGCTGTGTACTCCCTATTCCTGCAGAACAAGAATCCGCGGTATAGATTCACCGCAGAGGAGACTGCGTTCATGCTATCCAAGAGTTATGTGCATCTACTGCCCCCTCATCATTGGAGAAGAAGGAAACTGATCGCCTGGGCAGTGTCCAACCTCCACGCGTCGAATAATAGGGCAGAGTATGCAAATGCAGTCGCCAGATTCATTCCCGTAAGGTTTTTGTGTGTTGGTCAGTTCAACTTTTATCAATGTAATTAAAATCAAGTAGAAATATAATGCTCTTTATATTGGCACCATCCTACATACCACTGATCGTTAAAGGAAGCTCAATATTTCAAAGCAACCCGACTTAGGCGATGCAACATGGCATTCATTTTGAGGCACACAGTCGAGTACACGAAATAAGCCAGCATTCTCTTGCACATGCTGCCCTATAAGACTTTCTTTAGTGCTAACGTCCTTAAACCAATTAACATTGACAGGCGACGCATCAAAGCATTAACCAGACAGACCCGTTGAGGAACAAATCCCGTTTTTATGAACTTGGTTCTTAAACCGATGAATGATAACATTGGAAGTTCTGGTAAAATACTTGTTTCATTTCATCATAGGTAAGTCCCAACCATATAATCTAAGTATGAACTCACAGTAGTGGCTGGTATTGGTGCCACGATACTATAGAACTTTATGTCAGCAGCTGTGTGCATTGCCTCCATTCTTGACTTTCCTCGATGCAAATCACCCCAGATCCGTGTGTTTCATGGTAGATATATGTTGCACTTTTGCTCAATTGTTTTGTTTGCAATAATGCTGAATCATCAGAATATTCTGTATTCTACTTTGTAGGTAGATATATATGGCCGTAATCATAAGCAATTTCCACCCAATATCAATGCATTTCACTTCCTATCACTTAACTACAAATTCTACCTCTCCTTCGAGAATTCCAACTGTCGCAATTACATAACGGAATTGGTCTATGTCAACGCTCTGCAGTGCGTAATGTTACATGTTATCCAGTCCCACCCTAAAGTAGCCCACTTACCAGCCCTAATGTAGAAGTCCCGCTTTAGATATCATACTGGTCTTCCCAGCCTTCCATCATTTCAATTTAAAGAGAAATGTCATGCTTTGTCTGACTAATGAAGTGGCAATCTATGCAGAGCAGTACAAAATCAACTGGTAGCTGGTATCTGGTAACTAAGAGGTGGGTATCTAGACAAGAGTATCAGAGGAAGGTGATTTGAGTAGCATAAAATGCAATATGGAAAAAGGGACCCCATAATTCGCACACCCGCAACATTCTCATCTACAATGAAACATGACTTATTTACTTTTTCTACAGCAAACCGTGAAGGGACATGCAGAAAGACGTGGGCACCTAACGTAATGTATGATGCGTGAGGCATGAGTTTAGTTTGTGGATTGTTTTTCATCATGGATGCCACCTGAAATGACTGCATACCCTATCATCCATATTATGATACATTGATGGGTTGTGAAGAAAAATGGAAATTCACATTCCTGACCTACCACGCACTCTATCATTTTTAGTAAATTTTGACAAAATACACGCAATTTCTAGATTGCTTCTGTTCACTACATTGAATATATGAGGTCTTCAAAGCCACCCGTACACGATGTAAGGATTAGGTTCTTTTTGTTTCTTTATTGAATTTGTTTGACTACTTGTGCTTGTGAGCTCTCTTGCCACTCATTCATCCCGGTTTTTACTTATAGGCACGATATGATTCCCGTTGTATTGGGTGCCTTTAAAGACGATTACGAAAGTGCGTTGCCTCCACACTCGTACATCAACGTGGATGACTACAAGTCGATACGTGAATTGACCGATTTCTTACTCTACTTGGACACGAATGACACTGCCTATGCAGCCTACTTTGCCTGGAAGGAGCATGGCAGAATTTGCGTGAGTCTCTGATTGTTGATTAATCAACACCTAGGGCATGTGCATGAATAACAGAGTGTTAGACGGTATGTTGGATGAGGGGCTAAAGAACCTACGCAATGAATTCATGAATGGTTACTTTCTGCATGTGCGTTGCCCACATACATGTCCGTGGCTATAAGTCATCCAATGTGGCGAAAATCAAGAGGCCATAGCTACGCCAATATGACATATGTGAGTCTACTAGTTGTAATTCGTACATCACTGTGGGTATCTGAGTCGCTGTGAATTCCTTCACGCATGAAGTACAACAGGAACTTCTGGAAAATGTTTGATATGATATAACTGATATCTCCATTATGGGTGTTGAGTAGGTATTAGTGCCTTGAAGTAGTTGCAACACATGCAGACGTGTATTTGAATAAGACATTCACATCACCAGGAACGCCATTGCGAATGCTAAAGAGCTTTGTTAGCACGAAGAGGGGTTTTGAATTCAAACGACATGGAGAGTACATCAATGATTTGCTTAATTATAGTTAGCGAGTCTCAGCAAATGGCTGTTGACTATTTCACTGAATTAAGCGATCAACCTATGAGTTTCATTATGGAAAACTGATAAGTGCTTCTTCCACCAGTCTCCCGTGTGTGTACTTTTCGCTGCCTAAACAAATATTTGCTTCTTTGAAGCTGCTACATGATGTTTGTCTTCACGCAGCACAGCTATACATGGATGAGTGGTACACCGACTGCAAATTGATGTGGCGTTAAAAATTAATCTGCATGTTCGAAATATTGAAGTGAAAATCCTTGCGCAGCAAACAATAAAGACTACTCCTCAAAGTAGCCGAGCGATTAAAAGAGTTAAACAAGAGGGCGAATGACTGAGTGAATGAGGTGTCAATGATTACATGAATGAATGAGTCAAGAATAAATGAATGATTGAATGAATGAACGGTTTTCTATACACATATATTCCAACTTCTGCATCCCAGAACCCGAACAGATTGGAATGCCAACTGTGCGGTTTAATGCACCTACTAAATACTGGTGCTGCGCGCTTACCAAAGCAGAATGCCTTTGAGTTCGTCGATTCTCAAAGCCTCTGCTTCAATCGTCCCCTCATACCTCTCCATTGATATCACATGTAGGCGGTCTCTCCTCCCATCCCTTGAATTCACTACTCCCGTTTGATAACTTTTTTCGTTATATGCACATTCATGCAGACTGCATTCTATCATCTCAAACAATGTCAGTCTCAGTGGTGAGGGTGATCAGCCCATGTAA